TAATGCAATACGTCATTTGATTTCTTGACTGCTGCTTGCGTGAGTGTTGAATGAAGAATGAAGTCCTTGAAAACTTCAATCTTTTCTCCATTGATAAGAATGTTGTTTATTGGGTCCAGTGGTGAGGGTTTTTGTTTTCTTTACACTGACACGTAATCCATATCGAAGGCTGTGCTCTTTGATCTTCATCAGTAAACATTTTAAGTCCTCTTCACTTTCAGCAAGCAAGATTGTATCATCTGCATATCACAGGTTGTTATGCGTCTTCCTCCAATCCTGATGCCACGTTTTTCTTCATATAACCCAGCTTCTCAGATTGTTTGCTCAGCATACAGGTTGAATAAGTATGTAACCTCAGTAGAGCAAGGAATTTTCTTCTTCCTTTTGGTGAATGGATAAAATTTCCACTTGAAGTTTCTGGTAGCCTCCACAAGACTGAACATGCCTAAATATCTACCAGGTGCCATTGTTGTTATTGTTATGTGCCGTGGAGTCGGTTCCGACTCATAGTGACCCTGCACAGGGTTTCTGAGACTGTAAATCTTTATGGGAGCAGAACGCCTCATCTTTCTCCCATGGAACCTCTGGTAGTTTGGAACTGCTGATCTTGAGGTTGGCAGCCCAATTCATAACCACTATGCTACCAGAGCTCCTTACCAGGTGCCATTAAGCACGCTGAAAATCAGGATGTTTCTCTGGGGAAAGAAAGTACACAGGTAAGAGGAAGCTGAAGGATGCTGAATTGCATTATTTTCTCTTTCATATTGAAAGTGAGCATGTCTCTGGGGATTTCAGGACTCTAGTTGAATGGGTTCCTATGCATAGCGGTGCTGTATAGGGTTTATGAGGCTGTGAGTTATGCTTACACAGTGAATCTTATGGTCTTTCTACTTCTGTCACTTATGGGGGAGGCTTTAGTTTTGCCCATCTCGATAAACTCACTCAACAGTATATGTAGTCAGTGATCAGCTACCAGGGAGACACGCTATTCAAAAGTCTATCAAAACTTCAGGGGGGTTTCGAAACCCCTTCTATAAATCAGGAACCAGATGATTCTCTCCCAGATCTAGCTCTATTCACCAATCCATTGGGGAAACACACTGAGAGTGGGGCAGAAACACCCCAGAAAGATGACCGGGCTTCTAAACTTCAATATGCAAGGTGAGCACTTACAATGCAACGGGCTGCTGCTGTCAAATGCGCATCATGGGGAGGGATCTAAAGGGATACCTGTAGAAATTCTCCACATCTGGGGTGCTGACAGCAGGTGATTCTGGCTTGTCTTTACTAGGAGCAGGTGCAGGATTCTGAGGAGGAGGCAGTGAAGAACTGGTCACCAGGTTCCAGTTTGGACAGGAGGTGACAGGTGACAGTTTGGACAGGGCAGGCCCAGGGGAAGGATGCAGTAATCCATAAAAAATATGGAGCTATATAAAAATGCAAGCCCTGGGGTGGGGTCAGCTCTCAAGGAACCTTGGGGCTGGGCCAGCAGAACCCTAAGACAATGAATGAAACCCATAGACAATCCCCAAATTGTGTCTGGGTCCCATTTTCACCTTCCTTCTTTTACCAAACCAAACCAAACCAAACCATTCATTGCCATGAGTCAATTCTTACTTATAGCAACCCTATACAGGTCTTTATGGGTTGGTACCAACTCAACAACACTTAACAACAACAACAGTAGGACAGAATAGAATCCTGGTGTGGTGCTGTAGGATAAGCACTGGACTGAAAGGTCGGTTTGAACTCCAAGGTCAACAGTTCAAACTCACTAGCTGCTCCCTGGAAACACTATGTGGGGTTGCTGTGAGATGGAACTGACTCATTGACACTTAAACAGCAACAACAAATAGGAGAGAATATAACTGCTCCATTGGGTCTTCGAGGTTGCAAATCTTTAGGGAAGCAGATTGTCTCATCTTTCTTTTGTGGAGCAACTGGTGGGTTTGAACCACCAACTTTTTGAGTACTAGCCTAATGCTTAGAGATGTCAGCTTGAGGACTAGGGTGCGCCTGACCCAGGCCATTGTGTTTTCAATAGCCTCATATGGATGCGAAAGCTGGACAGTGAATAAGGAGGATCGTAGAAGAATTGATGCCTTTGAGTTGTGGTGTTGGAGGAGAATACTGAAAGTGCCATGGACTGCCAAAAGAACCAATAAATCTGTTTTGGAAGAAGTGCAGCCAGAGTGCTCCTTGGAGGCCAGGATGGCTAAGCTTCGTCTCTCCTACTTTGGACATATTGTCCAGAGGAAACAATCGCTGGAGAAGGATGTCATGCTGGGTAGGGTGGAGGGTCAGAGAAAAAGAGGAAGACCCCCAACGAGATGGATCATCCAGGTGGCATCATTAATGGACTCGGGTGTGGCAGCGGTAGTGAGGTTGGCCCAGGATCGAACATTGTTTCGTTCTGCTGTGCATAGGGTCACTATGAGTCGGTTCCGACTCGATGGCACCTGACAACAATAACAACAAGCCTAATGCTTAACTCACCATGTCACCAGGGTTCCTTTTCCTTCTGACACAGGCTCACACAGGGTTTTTCTTTTTGTCTTCTAAGAGATACTATGGACTAGTGAGAAGAGAAATGAATTAAGTGATACAAAGTTAGTGTAAGGCCAGGAGGAGTAACTGAGTAATCTGTAGACAAATTCGGACCAGGGGTCTAGTCCAAGTTCTGTCACATACTAGTCTTGTGAAACGAGGCACGCTCCCAGGTTCTCTGAATTAAGTTCTTCATCTGTGAAATGGATTTGATCAGTCCTGTCTTGTGGGACTGTTGGAAAGTGTGTAAACTACCTAGCACAGTGCTCGGCATATCGTAAAAAACATTAAACCAATTCCACTGCTGTTGACTGGTTTCTGACTCATAGCAACACTATATATCTGTATGGGAGCAGAAAGCCTCATTATCTCAGACAGCAACTGATAGATTTCAACTGCTAACCACAAGGTTAGCAATCCAATGCTTATCCTTCTGTGCCAACAATGGCAGTTGTTAGTATAATTATTTTGACCCCAACACTTAACTATGTATTTTTTTTTTTTAATTTAGGATGACTTTGAGAACAAAAAATTCTATAGGACAGAATATAAAATCATCTATTAAAAAAAAAAAAAAACCTGTAAAATTTCCCCTTCAGAAGGTATATGATTTATTTTAGTGTGAAAATGTCATCTCCCAGCTGGCTGCAACTCAACACTCCTAGAATTTGTGTCAAGGATCAACTTGTTCTCTACCTTTCAAGAGCCCTTCCAAACAAATCATCCATATATTTACATGCATTTCCGTCCCCACCTAATATCTAGCCTTTGCTTGTTGAATTGCCAAACTAGATTGAAGAACACTAATTAAAACGTCTTTTGAATAGAGTGGTCTCTGACTCGTCTGCTGTAGTTGTTGAATGTTATCAAGTTGGTTCCAGCTCATAGGGCTTCCAAGGGGCAGCTGGTGAGTTTGAACAGCCAACCTTGTGGTTCAAAACAACCTTGTGGTCCAGTGCTTTATTTCCAGGCAAGAGCAAATCCTTCAAACTCAGTGCCTTCTTGTTATCTCATTTCAAATAGAGTATCACCTGTATTTCTCAGAAACTCCTTGGAGATGATTTGCATAAAACACCTCATTTGTTCACTGTGTTCAACTACACTGGGGGTAAGAATGCCAGGCCTAGTTCATTCCTTCCCCAGGTGCAGATTGCTTTCTAGTTTACCCATGATACCAATGTTACAACTAGCAAAAAAATTCCATTCCAAGCTTTTGTGTCTCAACTTTGAGACACAGTAAGTGAGGGTCTTTTGTTCCTTGTTGACCCCCAAAGTCTTATCTTGCCCACCTACCCAACCTAGGTTAAGATGAACTCATATCGAAAGAGTAGTTTCCTGAATGCCCAAAACTGATCTGCCTTAGAGAATTTATACTTGCTTTGTTTTCATCTAGACATCTTACTCATTAAGATTCACTGTCTCTGAAACCTAAAGGGACAGTTCTACTTTGTCCTATAGGGTTGCTATGAGTTGGAATCAACTCGATTGTAGTAGGTAGACATTTTACCGCCTCACTCCTTTTATTTGTACTTTAGGAATTAGAGGGGATTCCAGCATCTTCCTTAAATGATTGTTGGTGCTAGAGTCTGAAGCCCTATGGGCAGGGCTAAGTCCTAGTTACCTTATTATCCCCAGTACTAGTTTGATGCTTTCCATTTGGGAAACAAATGAAACAGAGAGTAAGGTTTGTTTAATTTTTTTTTTATTTTTCCTATTTTGCTCTTGAATAAACAAAACAAATTCAGGTTATTATTTGTAAATGTACAGAGTAATAGACTAAAAGGTATACAGTAAACAAAGAATAAATATATCTTAATGTTTTTCTCTATTTCTTTGTTCCAACAATTCCAAAGCCAGGTTCTTTCACATTTTTCATTTTGTTTACATTAAAGTTCAATTAAAAAAAATAAATCTTCACATTTTCAAGGACACAGATATTTCAATGACATATTATCTGGTTCCAGATCACAAAATAAGATTATTTTTTGGATATTTGTTTTACAAAATAGCAATGCTCTTACTCTACAATCTTATAACCCAGAATAAATGTATGACTACTGTTATTCATAAACTTAGATTCTGATACTCCTTTTTTTTTGTCTGATTCTTTTGTTTTTTTGAAGATTTTTTTTGTGGTTTTTTTTTGGGGGGGTAGCCTTTTATTATTTTTTTTTTTTTTCATGTACTTCAGGGGTAACAATGTAAATGTATTTTCTTACTAAATCAAACCATTGGGAACCTTCCCCAAGATGAAAAAGAAAACGTCATACTGAAAGGAGCAATATTTGAATACTCCCTTTAAAAGGATAAATCTACAAGTTAATGAAATAGAACCAAAAAACAAAAATCTTATAAAATGATCCTTCCAGCCCCACTCTGGGCACTCTACTACTTAGAACACTTAACTGCCTGCCTGCTTCAAAAACAAAGTGAACAACCTTCTTCAGACTTCATTAAGGGTGGGAAGAGCTTTGGGGTTTGTCCCTGGAACTAGGGACTCTAATCCTGATAGTAGTGGTAACCCTGCGCAAAATTCTGACTCTCTTTTCCTCGTCTCTCAAAGCCTCCTCATATCGAGTTGAGTAAATAGGAGAGTCGATATCATTAATTCTGGCCAAAAACTCGAGGAATTTTACTTTGTTGATTTCTATGTGGGCTCTTGGACCCCACCGGAATTCATAAGAAGAACCACCCTTATTGGGGGACTGTCGGTACTGGAGATACATTTCCAGCACCAGATCTTTGGTAATGAACTTCTTGGGTTCACCGTAGATTAAGTGTTTCTGCCCAGAAAATATGCCCACCCTATTCAGCACTTTCCAGATATCCTCCTCAGTGGCACGGTTGCCCTTCATGAAGATCACACCCAAGATAAAAATCAGGAGGCCATTCTTGGGCATGCCGTCATTACTACTCAGCATCCCATCATAAGTGATACCCAGCTTATTGAAAAGGGAATAGCTGTTGCTGGTGGGAACCATTGGCATCACATCAATACCAAAGACAAGCTCCATGCGCTCAGAAGCTATACTGAAGATTTCAGAAAAGCTGTCATCATGCTCTATCATAACCATCTTCATCATGTCTTCCTTGGTGGCCATCTCTTTTATTCGAAACTTGAGCAGCAGGAATTCCATCAACAAAGCCACCTTCTCATCTCTAGGAGAGCTACGCAAATTATCAGTGCCTGGCTGCACTATGCTTAGACTTTGCACTTTGGGGCTGCTAAACCTGTCATCTGATTTGATCATTGAGATTTTAATAACAGTGGAAGATAAGGAGACACGCTCAGAACACTGGGTAGTACTGGATGCTTCAGCACTAGTAGCCTCTTTCAGTGTACCAGAGGTCACTGAGGAGGAGGGGAGGAAGATCTCTTTTGAAGCATCAGAAAGCGGTGCCTCCTCCAGGCCCTGAGCCTTACTGCAGGCTTGAAGGCTTTCATCATGTGGGTAGGATGGGTTTTCTTGACGCTCAGACATTATCACTCTTCTTGTTGAAAGAGACGGGAATGTTTTCAGAAAGGCAACCAGTGAGGTTCCACACCTAAGGGTAAAAGAGAAACAGGATGTGAGCAGGTTCAGCTGGTAAACTCAACACTGGGGATTCTAGGGGTTCACAGGTCTCTAAGACCTCTTGGTTAACCTGAAACACAAGAGCTTGAAGTAGAAAGTGAGAAGGCTCCTAGAGCTAGAGCTTCCAGACCAACCTAAAGGGTCCCAGGGCTGGCAGTAAACAGATGGGGTTGGGAGCTGTGCACTTCCCTCTGTTTGGAACTGGGTGGTCCCCATGGTCCTGAATGAGGACCTTCATCTTGATTCCTGGCAGCCTTGACCTCCTTCTTCAGCATATCTATGACTGTCTCAGTCCGACAATAGCCTCACTTCCCTGAGGAGGAAGTGAAGATGGCTCAGGATAACAGCTAAGCTAGATACCTCATGGTGCTGGCAACAGTAAGACTACAGGGAGCCCACTCTGTTCTGAGGTGGTGGTGCCTTGAGCCCGATAAACAAAGCCTTCACTTCTCTGAGACCTCCAGGAAGAAGTGAGAGGTAAGCACAGCCTAACGACCCTTCCTAGGGCTGACAGTAGGAGTGGGACTCTGTGGAGGTCTTTCTGTCTTTAGGTGTCTGGGTGTCCTCAGTCCTTAAACAGAGTTCTCTTATCATATGCTTTTTAACACTAGATCTCCTGCTATCTGCTACTTGAGGCCAGCACTTCCAATCAAGGACTGGCACCTCTGAGACATCTAAGAAGGAAGTGAGGAGACAGCCATTCACTTCTACAAGATTAAGAGTAGTGGCAAGGCTCTGTGGTCCCCACTGCTCTGGGATGGCTGAACCCCTCAGACCAGACTCAAGGTTCTCACCTTTACTACTGGCAGGCCTGGGACTCCAAGCCCTGTGACCTGATGCTACGTAAGGCCAACGGACCAAGGACTTTACTACAGTTAAACCTCAGAGAAGCAAGAGCAAAAACACTTCATCAGGCTAAAGCTGGCTGGACACTCTGACTCCTTCCCTATGTTGATCTGATGTCTCTTCACTAAGACCAAGGTCTTCAATTTTCCTCAGACTTTGGAAGAGGAGGTCAGGGGCACATGAGTCTAACATAAGAATATATTCTGGGACCTCTAAGGCCCGAGAGCAGGGGCGGGGCTGAGATGTTCTGAAGATGGTGGTGGTGGTTGTGTGCTGTGGAGTCGGTTCCAACTCATAGCGACCCTCTACAGAGTTTCCGAGGCTGTAAATCTTTACCAGAGCAGAAAGTCTCATCTTTTTCCTGCGGAACAGCTGGTAGTTTCGAACTGATGACCTCATATGGTTTGCAGCTCGATTCGTAACTACTACACTACCAGAGCTTGAAAAATTGTTCTGAGATGAGGTGGGGCCATTCAGGATCCTCTCCTGGTCTGATGCAGGCCCTGGTACTTCCCTCTGAGACCTGAGGCTACACCGCTCAGACCAGGACTTTACCTCACCAACTCCTGAAAGGCAGAAGGCCAGAGACAGTACTTCTGATCCTTAATCTGAGGCCCCTCAGGTCAGACAGAAGAGACAGAGCTCTGTAGTGCCCACTGACTTTTGGATTGGGTAGTCCCGTCAGTCCTCAGCATCTTACCTTGACACCTAGTTGACCCTGGGACTCCTGCTCACCTGAGGCCACACCCCCCAGATTTGCTTTCCTGAGACCTGCAAATTGGAAGTTAGGAGAAGCCACTTCAACTTAATACTATGGATGCCCTCCCAGGGCGGCTAGAGAGGGATGAGGGTAGGAGTGAGGCAAGACTCTCCATTCTGAGATGAGTAGTTCCCCTTCCCCTTCCCTCAGTCACTACTCAAGGTCATTATTTGAATTCCTTACAGAGCCCGGGGCAACACCCTCAGATCAAGAATGGCACCTCCCAGAAACCTCCCAAGGTGCAAGTTATTCAGACCTCAGCTGGACCTCTCAGGGCTGGCAGCAAAGGTGGGACCCAAATACATTAGACCCTTCTGTTTGGGCTAGAGAGTCTTGTGACCACATTATGAACATTCTCATATTAGATCTTGGTTTCTTTATTTGAAGGCTTCCTGGGAAAAGCCACTTTCGTGGCAATCTGTGCATCATTTCTCTAACTGTAAACTTTGCAGAGGCTGAGTTTGGCCCTCGTCAACATGCTGGATTAGGAAACTGCAGCACAAGACAGGCTGTCAGGGTAAAAAATGCTGTCTCATTCTGTAGCTTTTTTTTGTTTGTTTTTTTTTAACCTTCAGGACTTAAACTCTTAGGTATTTTATCTTTTTAAACATCTACTTTCACATAAAACAGGTTGTGCAATTTGAGAAAGTATAGCCTTTTTTTAAAGAACCTGATTCATTGAAACAATTGTATTTTACATGTCTACCAGTGTTTGCAAGGAGCTCTGGTAGCGTAGTGGTTACGAATCAGGCTGCTAACATCAAAGTCAGCAGTTAGAAACTACCAGCCGTTCTGCGGAAGAAAGATGAGGCCTTCTGCTCCTGTAAAGATTTACAGCCTCAGAAACCCTGTACAGGGTCACTATGGGTCAGAACTGACTCCACGGTACACCACCACCACCACTACCACCCGTGTTTATGGCACTGTAGGATCTGCACTGAACTGTGAACCACAAGGTCGGAAGTTCAAACCCATCAGCTGATCCTTGGAAACTGTATACAAGGAACCGACTCCATGGCACTTAACAACAACCCGTGTTTATGCTTTTGCATAGCTATGTAGGTACCTTAATAGTTATAGACAAGATATATATCTCGTGGGAGGATACCTACCCTGACTGTTTGATTCACTTTGATATTCATTACTCTCTTTGTATTCCATTTGTCATATTTAATAACAAAATTAAAAGGCGTGACATAGCATCTAGAGTCATGTTATTACTGCATGGCGTGTTATTACCCCATGGATACTGAAACCTGTGTTCTTACCTACTGCCTCTGATTTCTCTAGTGAAGCAGAGAAAATTAATTACTCCAGGAAAACTGGCAAGAAGCAAGGACAGAAGTACAAAAATTTCCTCCAACCAGTTTTGGCATCTGCTGCTTATTGCAGGCTATAAACCTAATAAGTTCTGTGTGCCCCAGCCCCCTACCTACACACAAGTACCAGTTCAATACAGTTTTCAATCATTCCAGGGATGTCTTGTATTTTGTTGTTTAGATGTTATTGATATGGTCTTTTATGTTTCTTTATGGTTGGTTTTAAGAACAGAAGACAGCAGTCTGAGCTTGGGTGTCACATTTGCAGATACTGGTGGGCAATGCATTTGTAAATCATTGAAAGAAAATTGACATTTTAAAATATCCTCTTTGCAATCAATAAATACAGTATACTACATGCTGGACTGCAAAGTCAGTATGAATCACAATCTCACAGGTTCCGACTCGACAGCACTTAACAACAACAACAACTAAAACCTTTATCTAGCCTTCTATAAATTTTATAGTGGCCTCCATCAATACCTTGAGCACTTTTGTTAGGTTTCTTCCTAGGTGATTTTTGGATTATGAATGGAATATTTTGTTCTTACAAGATTTTATTAGCCATTGCTTTCATGTAGCAAGGCTCTTAAATTTTGCTACAGTGATCTGTATATTAACTTCATGCAGTCACATACTCATGAATATTATGTGTACATTTTTCTTTGCATTTTCTAACTAGATAACTTATCCCTTTATTTTCAATATTCAAACCTCTTATTTGAGTTTCTTATCGATCTGCCTGTGTATTCCCATCAAATTTTGAATTGTACAGGTGATAGCAAACATCTGTACCTTGTTCCTGATCTAAAGGGAAAGCTGCTAATCTTTCCCATTTAAATGTATTTACTATAGTTTTGAGGAAAGGAAAGTTCCCTCTTAATCTTAGTTTGCTAATAAAAAGGTTTTTTTTTTTAAAAATAATGAACTGGTTTTACAACTTCTAAAAGGGCTTTTCCACACCCCTGAACATGATCAATTGGTTTTTCTTCTTTAATCTGTTATAATGCAGTACATTTCAAGTGATTTTCTTTCTAATATTAAATCTTCTTTATATTCCTTGAACATGGACTGCTTCTTCACTGCTACATTTGATATGCTGTTACTGTGTTTACAGTCTTTTCCTCGACATAAAGACCTTGGTTCAAGTCTACTGCTTGTTTTTTAAAGTAGTCTCTTCTGGGTTTTGTACCATGAAGAGGTTCTCTGGAAAAATCAGTTGAATTATTGCCCCTTTTTTGTATACTTTGTAAGTGTTTACAGAAGGTGATGATGAGTGCTTTTCCTGGACTCTTTGGTAAAACTGGTTCACAACTGTCTAATCCTGAAATATTTTGAAGATGTCTTCAACTATCACTAGAGTTTAGGCTGTATTGTTTGATTAAATTTTTATTTTCTATTTTTGTGTCACTGAGGGTTGTTCATACATTGGACTGCAAGGTCAGTTTAAACCACAAGGTTGGCGGCTCAAGCTCACCAGTTGCTCCTTGGAACCCTATACAGGGTCTCTATGGATCTGAACTGACTCAACGGCACCTAACAACAACAACAACAGAAGTTGTTTACTGTACTTGGGATTTCAAATTTATGATATTGTAAAGAAAAACCGTAATTATAGAAATTCTCAATCATATAAGACAAAATAGAGTATTGTATAATGACTTCAATATACCTAATACTCAGCATCAACAATCCTCAAAAGTTACAGATGGAAACTGAATAGATTACGATTTCTTTGTTCATTTTTAAGATCATTCTAAAAGTGTTGTTATGTACTTCTATTATAAGGAATATAATGTCCTGGCACATACAGGCTCTAACTCTCTCTCAGCCTCATTTTCTTTGTTAATAAAATGATAATAAGAATACCCATAATGTTGTCAATAATAAATAGGAATTTGTAAGCAAAACAACCTAATACTGTAGCTGGAAGATTTTAAGTCAGTATTTGTTTCTCCCAGCCCTTTAATTTAGAAGTGCTG